ATGTGGCTCCAGGTGTCTTGTTTTCCTCCTCAGGCAGGCAGCTATTTGTCCCAGGAAATAGTTATTTCAAAAGCATTATTAGGTGTTGGCTATAAATTCATAAGCACTTGGGATATTCCTTTATAAAGGTATCTATGTTCCAGATTTTTAGTGAGGTAAAAAAGAATTTGCACATGGCTGGATTTTTTAAATCTACCCCTTATGAGAATACCTTTCTAAATTATAAGACAAGCAGTGGCATCACCTCAAATCTCAATTTGATTCATATGAGTAAACTCCTTCTACTTTTTAAACTCATCACCTTTTCAAGTATAAGGATTGTGCTGGGAAAGATTCTTAGTGAAAATCTCATTACAGAGAATTCTCATTTGCAACATCATTTTTATATTTCTCCCCACTGTACTTACTCATTAGTTAACATATTTCACAAGATGAACGCAGGGTCACAGGACAAAGGTCGAAAACAGCTGTTTCTGAGGAAGGGCATTAGACTTGCAAGTTTATAACAAAAGCTGATGCTGCAGCCTACAAGGACTTTAGGGACTGATCCAATCACAAGTACAAAACCTCTGACATCGAACATTTTCTCATCAAATTTAATAACTAGAAACTGTCTCCAAGCAATTATGGCCTGAAATCCACTGCTATAAAAAGATACCTTAAGTATATGATCTAACTTGTTTATTCTCTCAACTGTCTACTTTTCATTATTCCTAATTTTGTTCTTTTGTGAAAGAAATGTTACTCCAACCCAGTCTTTTCATCCCTCTGTTCTTTCTATAGGAACCTCAGCACAGAACCATGGGGCAGTGAGTTAGGCGATTGATTCTGCTCTCATCTGAAATGCTAAGAACAAGCACAGTATTTTGCTGGTTTCCTATGTAATGAAAACTCGAGAAAAAACATTTTCTACTTTGCAGAGAATATACAAACGCATATTACACCCATTGAGAACACATCAGTAAGCAGTGTTTGTATACACGTAAGGGAAACAGGATTTTACAGTCAGATTTTTCAACAAATCAACACCATTAGTCACAGGATTAAGTTACTTAGTGGCATCAAACAGAAACTTTTAAAACCCCTCTGGTGTGTTCCCTATCATAGCACATGCTTTCCCAGTTAATTTCCTGTTAAAAGTGCTAGAGGCACTCCTCACAGCAGCAAATGTCTCATTTCTCTGCTGTGTTTGGTTTCTCCTTTCTGTTGTTAGTGGTAAGCATTTCAATAATGCAAGGGTATTAGAGAAATTTCTACACAGTGTGAATGTCTTCACTGCACAATGGAGCCTTTGGAATGAGCAGTCACCACAGAGGGGGAGGACAGTCAACTCTGAATTATTCAGAAAGTGATTACCTGGCCTAAAGGAGATTTATAGCCAGGGAATTGTTTGTTTCTTCCTATGTCTGTTCGGTCATGTTAACTGCTTATTCAGAAGCTGAAAAACAACTTGAATTGATGCTTCCACCATTGTTACTCATCAGTCATGGCTCAGGGAAGAGGAATTCCAAAGCCCTAGATGACAAGGATGCCTGGGAATCAATCCTCCATGAATACTGCATCTCAGTGGAGAGCTGCCATTCACCATACAGGCCCTACGCTGACCTCAGCTGCAGTCCAATGTAAGGCAACGCTGCCCCCTGCAGACAGCTAGCACACAGTGCAGGCTGCGGCAGAAACTTGAGAAACCCGAGTCTGCCAATGACAATTTCCCAGTTTACCAGACAAGTAATTTCAGCATTTCTAATTGCAGTGGTTAAATGCCAGGTGTCACAGCAGCCTGACTACTCCCTTTAATAGTATTGCATACCATCATGGATAAAATAGAGTCTTCCACCAAGAACAACGATGGCATTGTGTCCCTTGCAGTATTCATAGGAGTATTCAAGTTTGCGTCTTGTGGCCCATATTGTCTATTATGGGCTAAGAAGAGAAAGAGTTCTCCATGGACATTAAGACAGGCACAGCATTAAGATGCAAAGGCATCCTCCGACATGAGGAAATGGGATCATTTCATATAGTCACTGGGCTGATATGAACAGAAATGGGCAAAATATATACTTAAAAGATTTTCACTTTTGATGAACAATTAGCTACAATTATGACTGTTTAGAGAAAGCCCATGTTATGAGAGTATGGCACACTATATACATTGAAATTGACCTGAAAAACATTTCCTTTCAATGTGAATGATCCCTGTATAAATACTGTCTTCCAAAAATAAAGGGAGATAAAGCCTTTAACGGAAAGTTGTACTCAGTTCTTAATCCTTCAGAAAGCTGTTCCCACAGGGTTCTCACAGCTTTATTGTGCTAAAGATTTTACTCAATCACTGCAAGTTCTCTTTCAACAAAATCAGCACTGAATAATGAATCGTCTAGGTGTCCATCTGCCAAGATGGCTTTTATATAATAGCAACACACATTAAAAATCAAGGCTACAAAAGGTTAACCACCTGTGTGAAAAACTGAATGCACCATATTTTAACCAGTAATTTGTAACTTGGCACGAGTTTAGAGTTTTAACCGTATTTTTAAAATATTGTCAGTTAAAAACTCATCACTTTTAAAGATTGTGACTTTGAGAAAAAGGGATGGACAAGTGTCAGTAACAAATTTATTCATATTCAGGTCAGTTTCAGGTGATAGCATGAGCAAGAGAAATGTCAGGTTTAGAATTTTCTAGAGTGAGTTCAGTAGAACACAGTATCCAACATGGATCCAGGGTCCATTGTCATGTTGAAATTTTCCTCTGGGGTTATCTGTCCAGATCTTCCCATCTAATTCTGATTTTCTCTATGATCAAACCCACATGGTTCTTTCTGCAGTTCATTAGTTCGTTACTGGTTGTTGTGATATCTCTTGAGAAACAATTATCAATTGTATGCAGAGTCACTTTCTAAAATCCTCAATCCTATTTTAAAGCATGTGAGGAATATGTCCAGTCCCCTACAAAATAATGAAAATAATTATGTCTAACAGTAGTTTGAACATCAGTCAAGAATTTTGTTGGTTAGGTTAGGGCATTTAGTCTGACCCTATTATCTCATTTCCAGGCAATACTTCACAAAAAGTTAGGGGGGGGGGGAGAGAAGACAAACCTACAAGTAGCCATATGATAAGCATCTATAACATACTGTGCTCAGTCAGCAATACTGCTATTAGTGAGGCCTGGTCTCCAGGGAGCAGAGACAGGAACCAAGATCTTCCAAGGCCAGAGTATTTGTTTAGATCACAACATTAAAGCATAATAGACCTTGGACACTCAAATTAAATGGTATGTGTTTCAGTAGCAGAACAAAGTAGTTGTTTATATATTTATCTTAAAATGACAAAGTACAAAACAGAGAACAGAAAAGAGTGTCTGGCAAGTCATTAAAATACAGTTATTAGTCGCTTCTATAGTCTCAAAGATAATTATTTGGATGAGAAAGAATAATTCGATTTCCTCCTTATTCACAGGGAAATAATTACTCTGATATTCTCTAAAAATTTTCTGCTTTACAAAAAATAAAATAAAACTTTTAACTTTTAGTTTTTAAAAACCTAAAAAAAGTAACACATTTTTCAATACTCATGTTGAACTGGATAGCACGAGGGAATGACCAGCCCTGGTCACTCACTCAGAGACACGAACAGTCTGGTTAAGTGGCCTGATATATTTCTGAAATAACATTTTGCTACCATAATAAATAGGAGTGAACTAAGTACATGAGAGGCAAAAAAGTAGAAATTTTGAAATAAAACTGATTGTTATATGAGATAGAAAAATAAACATTTAGAAAATAAAAATATGGCAAATGATATTGTTCATTTGCCTAATTTTCAAATAAAAATACTGTTTTTTTTCCTTTAAAGTTACCATAAAAATTTTTAAAAATATGAACAGAAATCACAGGGCAGATAAAGAAAAATACAGCACGAATATAAGTCTACCAGGGCTAACTGTTGACTACTGAAATCACCACCTAGAATCTGATTTAAGGTCATGATCCATATTGTCCCCAGTTTCTTATCTAAATGAATAAATTCACATTTTCATACATCAATTTCATCACGTGCACTCAAAGTTCCATTATTTTTCTTTTCCTCCAGTTCTCCAAGATGGCAATATCCCTTTCGGCAAAAGATGTTCGTCTGCCCAAAGCTTAACTCCAAGACTAAGCCTTTTATTCAACTTCCTCTTCTGTAAAATCTTCATAAAATCAACACCTTTCTTAACATGACAGTTCCAAATCGACTCCAAGAAACTTCCTTAAATAGCTCCCTGAATACTGTGTGACATTAAAGATCAGGCAAAGAGAAGGCAGTTTCCAAAACTCAATACAGAAATTTCACAAACGTCAGCTTCAGATAGTGAGATGCTACGGCATGCACGTGTGCGTTTCCTTGCATTGCACGAGGTCAGCTCACAGGCAGACTTGATTTCCTGAAGGAGAGCTTTAAATGTCTTACACAAAGACATACAATGTTCATTAACAAATGAGTAAAGTATTGTAGAAAGAACTAGTTTACCAAGCTTCATGTTGCATTATTCTAGCTGATATGAACAGAGGACAACATTGACCTGTTGTCAACGAACATTTCTGTGTGTGTAAGCAAGAATAAAACTTCTAATCAATACAGAGAACCCTTCCACAACTTTCTCCTACCTTCTTTAGCTCTATAAGTAACTTAAGACAAGTGAAGAAGACAGAAGACTCATTTTCAAATGAATTTGCATGGAACTAAACTAACATTTCAGAAAATCAAGCTTTTTGTCATAAAAATTGATGCCAGGGCCACTTCCCAACAGCTTCAGAAAGCCTTGCCACCGAAGGAACAACAGAGTCTCTTGCCAATTACCAATTTCTTACGATGACCCCTACAGTCCTATGTATATAGAACAGCAAGTTTAAAATCCTGTGGGGATTTCCCTTTTAAATTCCTTATGACTGTGATTTCTTCCTACAGTGCAAAAGGCCCAAGCTCTGTCCTGCAAAACTAATGCACCAAAAAAGTACTTCTTACATTCTTTTATTCTACATTGCATCCAGACACACTTCACGTTGTCCGTTCTTCCCCACATAATTCTAACTGCTACACAAAATCTAGTCCTGAGAGACCAAAATTCCATAATTCCATAATTCCAAAAGGGAATTCTCACAGAACTCTTGGACATGAGATTCCAGGTAGGATTACAGTGCGGAGGCTGATATTGGTCAGCAGCTACATTTTCTTACACTGCCCACGTGATCAGGAGTAACCAAAATATTTGAAATAAAGTAAAAATATATATGGTCATACCAAAAAAAAAAAAAAACAAAAAACAAAAAAACAAAACTGAGAATAAATCCCAGAGATGCAAATAATGAGGGGAAAATAATGTGGAATGCAATCGGTATCATCTGGTAATTTCTGCTATGGTGAGTCCATTTTCAAGGAAGAATCATAGGTTTCTATTGCTTGTAATGGAAACCTGGAAAGAACAGAAAAAAAAAACACAATTAAGGGAAAAAATGAAATTTAATTTTTGTCCCTGTTCAAGTAAAAACAAATTTCGCATTTCAAATTATTCCTTTCTTCTTGCTTATAGAAATATTCACACACAGAATTAATACACTATTCTAACAATGAATCGAATGTATATAAGACAGCAAGGCACATTTCAAAGTGACATAAGCATAGTTAGACAAAGAAAAACATAAGCTATTCCACTGAAATCAGGGATAATGAAAATGCCACAAATTGATACAAATTGTGATGTGTGCTGTTTCAATAAAGATATTTGTAATGTCCAGTGACCTATTTTAAAAGCGCTACTTGTTTTATTATCAACACTGGATGAATGTGGCAATAAGGGATTTAAAAAAAGTAAATATCTGACACTTCGCAAGAATACATTCTAAGTATTCTTTTTTTTAAAATTTATTTATTTTTATTACAGAGTCAGATATACAGAGAGAAGTAGAGATAGACAGATAGATCTTCCATCCAATGATTCACTCCCAAATGACGGCAACAGCCGGTGCTGTGCCGATCCGAATCCAGGATCCAGGAACTTCTTCCAGGTCTCCCACACGGGTGCAAGGCTGTCAAGGCTCCCAAGGCTTTGGGCCGTCCTCAACTGCTTTCCCAGGCCACAAGCAGGGAGCTGGATGGGAAGTGGTGCTGCCTGGATTAAAACCGGCGCCCATATGGTATCCCGGCGCGTTCAAGGCGAGGACTTTAGCCGCTATGCCACACTGCTGGGCCCCCATTCTAACTATTCTTAACGGTAATTGTTTATTTATTTCATTTACATTGGAAAGGTGAAGTTACAGAGAGAAGGAGGGAGAGATTGCCTTCCCATGTCATGTGCAGGGAGCTGGATCAGAAATGGAGCAGTGGGGACTCAAACTGGTACTCATGGGGTCCTGGCATTCACATGAAATGCTGGCACTATGGGCAGAGCATTAGCTGATACAGCACAGCCCTGGTCCCAAGAATGGCAGTTTTGAAAGGCAGTAATAAGAGACAGCTTTAACTGTCATTAGAAATGCAAAGATAATAAAAACATCACCTAGGAAATCTTCAAAAATTGATTCAAAAACATAAAAGCTTCATCAATAAGGGCTAGTATCTGTACCGTCTACTGCAATCTGTAGTTTTTTTTTTCATATATCTGATTCTGAGAACTGTGCTACTGCCCGTCTAGACTGTCTCCATCTGGATATGGAAATTAATAAATTACCTTATTTTATTTTACTATTCTCATAAATTACATACAAGTGAATACATATCCTCAGAACAGCAAATATATCCTACAATCCTTCATTTTAAGGTTTGGCAAATTTAGACACACATACTTATTCTTTTTTTTTTTTTTCATTTTCTTTGTAGCATTCTTTCCCATAAAAGTTGTGTGTATGTATTAACAGTGTTTTGGGAAGACAGTGAACAGCCAAGCACAGATTGAACATCCCTTCTCCAAAACGTCTAGAATCAGAATTGTTCCAGGCCTCCGACACGTCTTCGATTTTAGACTATGTGAATAAACTTGACTGTGTACCCCTAAATCTGAAATTAGTACTTCTTCCAGATCAGAAACTTTCTGAACATCATATCAGCACTCAAAAATGTTTTAGACAGCAGAGCATATCATATGTCCAGATTAGGAATAAACATTCTGTGCAGAAAAGACATTCCATCACTTGCAAGTAAAAGAATTCCATTTCTAAGAGTCTGATGGATGTTATAGAAAACCTTGCATTCAATTTTAGATTTCTATTTTGGTCTTTTTGTCTGTGTCATAAATTGTAACTATCTACTGGAAGGATTTATTTATTTATTATTATTATTATTATTATTATTTTTTGCTGTCTAGTAATCTGGAAACAGCATTTAGTTTTCCACTACATGGTATACAAGTGAACAAAGCAAACAACGAAACCAATGTGATTTTAAACTCAACCACGTCAACTCCTCCTACCTTTGTGAGAGGACTCGGACTTGGAGACATGACGGCTGGAACTATGCTGCTTCGTGAGATGAGTATAGTCCGCATCCTCGCCTTCCGCTGTGGTCACTGGTGGCGGCCTGAAGGGAAGCCACCATTTAAAAAAATAGATCTTGATTACAGTATAGCACTTCTCATCAGGCTATACCACAAAACATTAGACACAGAGATAAAATAATCAAATTGCTTTCGAATGAATTCTCCTTTAGTTCCTAGAGAAGGCACTTATATGATCTTCAATAATTTTTTTAGCCTTTATTACTTTGCTGTTGCTTCTTTGTTTGATGCATGCAATTAAATACAAATAAATGTATTCTCTCGACAACCAAGACATGTGAAGGACTGTACTTGCAGTACAAAGACACATAGGATGTGACTGTTGTTCTTGCAAAGAAATTCATTTTGTTTCAGTTAGTGTTGCAATAAAGCATAAAGAAAATATAACAAGAAAACTAAGGGAGAAGAGAGGGTGCAAGAAACAGTGGGATGCAAGGGATTTTGATAACCATAAGATCTCATGAAGAGTTTCTTCATCCACCAGGAGGCAAAGTAGATGGTAACAAACTTGCATCTTTCCATCCATTACATTTGCAACTGTTATATCATAAACAATTTTTTTAAGGATTAGGAAATTGTTACTACTTCGAATTTTTACCTTATTTAACACAGTTTTTTTTCCCCCGAACGCTGCACACTGATGAAACACTAAACTTCCAGTTTTTGTTCCCTGAAGATGCACTCAAATTTCGTATTACAGCATGGATCCCTATCAGATGCAGATTTGCCACACATGAAACCGTATCCAGAACATCTGCAAGCCATAGACATTTGCAGATATACAGAAGGAGAAGGAGGGACAGAGAGAGAGAGAGAAACTCCCTGGGTGGCCACAATGGCAGAAGCTGAGCTGATCCGAAGCCAGGAGCCAGGAATGCCTTCCAGGTCTCCAAGGTGGGTGCAGGCTTTGGGCCATCTTTGACTGCTTTCCCAGGTCTCAAGTGGGGAGCTGGATAAGAAGTGGAGCAGCCGGGATAAGAATCGGCACGCAAATGGGATCCCAGGTCAGGCCTATCATAGGCATTTTGAGATTAGGAAATTCATATTCTTTTCAATCTAATGGCCCTATCACATAAAAAGGCAGACATTTTCAAATTCCTCACCTTGTACCCAAGCACTTTATGTCTCTCCTCTAAGTATTCAGCATTTGGAAGAAGTCAGCATGAAATATGTATAAAAGTCTATGTATTTTTGAAGGCTGTGCTACTGGTTCTACTTGGATTATTTAAGTTCATGTTCGGGTTGAATCTGCATAGTGTAGGATAACACACATTTCAGAGTTAAATTAGATAAAATATCTACCTAAATTGGTATTCCTAATAGAAGACGGATGGAGTTCAAACTGAACTGGACCACTGGACTAGTGCTCTAACTATTCTACTGTGCTACAATGTGTCGTCCCCCCCCCGCCCCCCTTTATTTATGAACAGTAGCAGCTTTTGCATGAAAGAGCAGGTACAGGATGTGTGTCTTAGGTTTTCATATGTATGACTTTATATGTAACTTTGTTTTATAATTCCAAACATCATTTGGAAAAAGACTTTTTTTTTAAAATGCACATTTGCATCAGTTTGTTTTAAATGAGAGAACTCTAACCAGTTTGTGGAAAATAGAATAGGTAAATTTACTTTGGTGTGAAACTGTTTTTAAACCCATGCATATGAGGCACGCAGTTACCCTGTGCTGTGAATCATTTTTGGTTCAATAAGGAAAAAAAAATCCTAATTTATTGCTTTCAGAGTCCAATTATTTTGTTACAAGGAGGAAAGCATTTCTATGCACAGCCAGAATGACCAACTAACAAGAGTTTAACTGTTTTCATTAATAAATAATTTTCATTGTGTTAGGAATACCCATTACAACTCACTTCAAAAGACACTTCTTCAATAAATCATCCTTGACACTCAAGACAGGTGGTGTGTCATTGTGTTTGTAGAACTGTGTGTTTGTCATTCACAATACTTAGCACAATCGTGAACAAATATTTTCATAATTGCTTAGATTATAAACTTCATGTGATTATAAAACAGGCAATTCACCTCAGTTCTGAGTAATTAGCACTCTCAGGAAAATTTGATTAAATGAGTAACTTGAGCTAAAAAGCTATTCATGTTCATAATGTATGAAGAACTAATACAATTCATAAAATATTTAAGTCACTCTAATACAAAAAAATTTAAATAACAAGCAGTGTTATCATCAAAAATCCTGCAGTTACAACAGCTGGGAGCTTGGTTTTGAACTTCGTCCAGTGAAAAACAAACCAGAATTTAGATTGCTAAGTGGTTTTCTACTTCTTTAAAGAGAAAGGAACTCTTGGAATGGAAAAAGGCATTGCATCCTTCACCTAAATCTTACCAGTTCTACATGCAAACACCTTTCTCCTCTCCTACTACTGTCTTGACCTAGGAAGATCCCTGCCTTCCAGACTACTTCTGAACAGGTAAGTAAACTTTTCTAACATAAATAAATGTAAAAAAGGAAACCATGGATTCTAACCAGAAAGTACACATTCTGACACGAATTGTACAAGATACCCAAATATCCAAGTTATATGGGTTCTGATTCTTAAGTAAAAACATGTTTTATAAAATTCTGATTATATTTTCTCTGCTATATTTCTATTCTTTAAATGGCATTAAAAATAACCTTGCCACATAGGTAAAAGAATTCTAATTTTATTAGCTCTGAATTGTTTGTCATTAATTAATAGCAATCAATTTTTAAAATTTATTTATTTATTTGGTCTCCTGGCCTGGGTCCTGAGTCCGACATGTGAGGTAGGTACTGGGTCCATGAGCCCTGGGAGCAGGGGATGTGGCAAGGCTCCCATTTCCTGGTCCTGGCCTTTGGTCCGGCCTGCCAGTAAAAAATGAGTACAGTGGATGCAGACCCTGATGCACATGGAAAATATGGCAGCCCATTTAGTACCACTGCAGAAGAAGGCGAACAGAGCAAACTGGACAACTACCCCCAGTAAATAATGACAGCAAAAGTCTGGGTGAAAGGAGACTTGAGGTCAACTATGCCAGCCAATGCACAGTGGGAGGGTTGCCTCACCCCTGAATCGGAGAATTTGACAGGATTTCAGAACTACCCAAACCACTCAGTCAGAACCCTCAGAACATGCAATATAGCAGGACCTGAGTTGATAATGGGTGGCGGTTCCCCATTGCTGGGTACTGGGACATTTGGGAGTCTGGGTGTGACTCCCCCCATTACCTCTCCCCTCCCCCAGAGACAAAAAGAAACGAAGAATTAGGAAACAATAATTTCACCCACTTTTCCCTAACCCTCAATCCTTCCCACCCTAGTCAACCACGTAATCATCATCAAAAAAATAAAATCAATTTAATAAAAAAAAAATTATTTGAAAGCCAGGCAGAGAAGCAGACAAAGATTCCCAATCTGCTGTTTCACCTTCTCAAGGCCCAGGTCAATGTCTGTGGCTGGGTCCCTGCATGGGGAGCCTCCCATGCAGATGGCAGGGACCCAACTAAGAGAGGTGATCCGCTGCTTCCCAAGGTGGCCATTAGAGCAGAAAGCTGAACTTGAACCCAGGCACTCTGGCATGGGATGCACACATCCCAAGCAGCAGTGAACATCTGCACCAAACACTGACTCTTTTAACAGCCCTCTTTAATATAGATCATTATTTACTATTTCTATGCTTCAAATATTTTTAGAGTAACTACTATATTTCAGAAACTTTTCAACTTTGGTACAACTTCAAAAAGAAACATTCCATATGGTCCTATCATATCTGCTAACAAATTTTAAACAATTTTGTTAAGAGGCCAACAGCTCTGAAGACTGTAAAATAACACTTTAAAGTTGACTCCATCTGACATAAACAAACAAATAACAATCCAGACATATTTATTTTACTCAGAACAGATCAGCTGCTTATTTCACATGGACACTATGGTTATATATTCAACTGTAGAACTCTCAAATCTGCCTCACAAGAACACTGGGCATGTGTGCAATCAAAAGCCTCAGGAGCAACAGATTTAATCCAATTAGAGGGACTCTACTAATATTGCCCTCTAAATCACACAAACTCTTCATAATCTTTAGAAGGCATTTGTATCCTGAAAGCACATGAAATTAAAACTAGAGAACTGCTTTTTAAGAAAACTACATATTTTCACTTGAAGGAAACAATTCTAGCAGCTTCCATTTGGAGCAATGAGTGGAAATAACAGTATATATATTTATATACATAGTTACGTTTTACAAACCAGTAAGTATTAGCAGAACAAAACTATAAGTCTTAAATCAACTTTCAAAATATTTATTTGATTGTACTTTTGTCTTTATATACCTATTTCCTCACTGAAATCCAATTACATTTTATTTTGAAAGATATTCAAAAGCAAAGAAGGAGAGTAGCAGGGTGGGGGTTTGGTTGCCTCCCCAGAGATGTCAATATTGACAAGTCAAGGAGAAAATACAGCACTTCCTCTGGAGCTAGAGACTGACTGAGACATGATGAAAACTACATTCCCCAGCCTCAAGAGTTTGATCCAGTGGGATTTAGGTGACCTCCAGTGACTCAAGAATTTACCTGGGACATTTATACACAAACAGAAATGAGTTTGGACATATTTAAATATCATCTGAGATCTATGTGACTGTGAAAGCCCAGTAAACATTTAAACCAGAGATTTTAAATAGGACATGGCTAATCTCATCCCTCCCAAAGTGAAAGTATAAATTGAGTGCATGTGGACAGGGCCATGGTTCCTAACAACAAATGCACTCTTCTTATACCCCAGCTTCTGCAGAACAGTGCTGACTTCATCTTCAACTCATTTTAAGACTGGCAATGAAGTTGGAGGGTAACTTTGCAAGACTTGATCCCACCACACAGTTACAAAGAACAAACATTATTTTTAGACGCCCCCCCCTCCCAAAACAAAGAGTGACACCGCCTTAGTCACCCAAAGGAAAGTTTTCTCATCTCCATCTCACATAGCATCTTACCGTGCTGGTCTGTCATGCTTAGAACGGTGAGTTTCATCATTCTCTTTTGACTTTGGATGTGCAGACTTAGCTAACTTTGGCTATGAACAAAAAACAGACAAAACGCACATCCAAACAACAAAGACAAAAGGTGAAGTTTAGAAAGCATGTTTATTATGCCAACATCTCCCACAGCAGCCAGGGATGAGCTAGGCTAAAGTCAGGAGATCTGAACTTCATTTAGGTCTCTCAAAGTTCCAATTACTGTTATTTTTAAAAACTTACTTATTTTTTTGAAAGGCAGAGTTACAGAGAAGAAAAGGAAGACACAGAGGGAGAAACCTTCCATCTGGTAGTACACTTCCTAAAGGGATGTGACAGCCGGGGTTGTGCCAGGCTGAAAGGCAGAGCCCAGTGCTTTTCCCCAGGTCTTTCATAGGTGTGTAGGAGAGCAAATACTTAGCCCATCTTTCACTGCTTTCCCAGGCATGTTAGGCTGGAGCTGGATCAGAAGTGGAGCAGTCAGAACTGGAACTAACACCTACATGGGATGCTGGCCTTGTGGCAGGCAACCATGCCAGGCCACAGCCCCAGCCTCTCAAATACTTCTTGAGCAATTAATTCCAACCTCCAGGACACACATTAATAGTAAGTTGGGGGCCCAGCTCAGTAGCCTAGAGACTAAAGTTCTCTCCTTGCAGAGACCAGGATCCCCTATGGGCACCAGTTCTAATCCTGGCAGTCTCATTTCCCACCCAACTCCCTGCTTGTGACCTGGGAGTCAACGATGGCCCAAAGCCTTGGGATTTTGTATCCATGTGGGAGACCTAGAAGAAGCTCCAGGCTCCTGACTTCAGATTGGTTCAGTCCTGGTCATTGTGGATACTTGGAGAGTGAACCAATGGACAAAAGATCTTTCTCTTCCTCTCTGTACATCCTTCTCTCTGTAAATTTACCTTCCAAATAATAAGTGAATCTTAAAAAAAAATGGAGCTAGTGGTATAAGCAAGTTAAGCCTAAGCCTGCAACACTGGCATCCCATACAGATGCTGATTTGAGCCCCAGCTACTCCATTTCCAATCTAGCTCTTTGCTTATAGCCTGAGAAGGCAGCAGAGGCCACCCCAATTCCTTGGCCTTTTGCATACCCATGGAAGACCTGGAAGAAGCTACTAGACAGCAGCTTCAGACAAACCCAACTCTGGGCACTATAGTCATTTGGCGAATGAACTAGTGAATGGAGGATCTGTCTCTGCTTTTCTCTCTATCTCTACCTTTGCAATAAGCAATCAAATATGTCTTTAAAAATTTCTTTGACAGGAAGAATATCAGCAGCAGGAAAAGCATCAGAGACAAATGGGCAAAGTAGGAGAGCAGAAGTGGGGTGAGGGTAAGGGGTGGATGGGAAGAGAAAGGAAAGATGGAGGTAGATTTCTTCTACACATATTCACAATCCTCAAATCTCATAATTGCTGAAGCAAGGATCTAGGTCTCCCACGTGAGTGGCAGGGACCTAAACATTGGCGCTATCTTCTGTTGCCTTTCCAGCTACATTAGCAGGAAGCTGGATTGGAAGTACAACACCCAGAACATCTGACTGGAGCTCATAAGATGCTGGCATTGCAAGAGGCAGCATAACCTACTTCACTACAAGAGCACCCTTCACTTCATCTTAAAATGCCTAGGCTCACAAACACAATGCAGAGAATATGTATATCCTAAACATATTTATAAAACTTAAAATTACCCTGAAAATAGGAATTCCTTTTCATTTCTCATCATTTCCTTTCTAACTAAAAATCAAAACAAAACAAAGCAAAACAAAACAACACCCTACCTTCCATTCTGGGTCATGCTTTCTTTTTTCTAAAGATGATTTTTCCCGCTCCCTGGCTTTCTTGTAAGCTTTCTTTTCCTCAGCCATTAAAAGACGAGCAATTTCCTAAATAAAACCCAGTCAACACCATTAATTAAGTACAGAGGTGCAATACAGAAAATCAATAAGATATTAAAAAAAAAAAAAGCAAAACAAAACCAACCAACCAATAAAAACCCAAACAACAACAAAACCCACAATTGGTAAAATCACTAAAATAAACTTACTTCATCTTGGGCCACTTGAGCTGCTCTCATATCTACCTGGGTAGCCTGTGTTATAGTAAAAAGAAAAAGCAAAAATGTATGGGGGATACATGTTGTTCATTGAAAACATATTACAAAAAAATAAACTAGTACTTTAATGCAGTTATAATTAACATCGATGAAGTTGATAATCAGTTGGTATATTTTCAGCATGCCGCAAAGGGACTTGTCTAATCATATACTACATATATCAAGTTCATACAGAACTGCAAGAACTTTGTAATGCAGAGACAGGGATATAAGTTCTGTTGCTACTATCAGTAAATGAAACTGAACAGAAGCAGTGCCCCTTGGTCATGGGCACATGATCCCAGAACCCCGACAGACACCTGAAAACACAATTATGACCAACATATCCTAATTTTTCCATACATATACATACCTGTGCGATAAAACTTACCAGCTCGGCACAGTGAGACAAACAATAACTAATAATACATTAAATTATATCAACATGCTGGGGTAAAAGTTGTGATTATTTCTACAACTCTCAATTTAATATTTCTGACTGCATTTGACCTTAGGAAACTGAAACCATAGATGATGAAATTGCAAATAAAGGGAAACAATTATACTTTCATCCAATTGTCTTACCTTTTTTTTTTTTTTTACCACTCAAAGAATGTATCAGTTTCTCAACTGACATTTCAATAGTATTCATTATATATTCTCAGGACAAATTCATTGAAAGCCTACTGATTCACCTAGACTCTTGCCTTAAAGCACACTCACCAGAAGTTCTTCTTCTTGTAGTTTTCTGGCAATTTCAGCATCATACCATTCCTGATCCCTGTGGTTTCCTCGTGATGAAGTAGAGAGAGCATCTTTCATCACCCGTGGCTTCATTCCTAGGAAAAACCCAACGTAATAAGGCAACAGAAAAAATCTTTTTTAAAGCTTTTCTTTCATCTCTGACACTCCACTGTGGAATTGAAGATGAGGGTGTGCAGAAATTACAGTATTTTCCTCCGTTTATATGAAAGTGGTGTCTCAGATAATGTGTGCATTTAAACAAAGTTCCCCAGGTAGATCTGGCTGCTTTTTAAAACTCCTTTTAAACAGATTCTTCAATAGTAGAAACACTGCTAGAAACTGCAAGTGAAGTCATTAAGTCACTGACAAAATAATAATAAATGACAATGAAAAGTCACAGAAAATGAAAAGAATTTAAAGAGGAGGGTTATCCAGTCAGACCGCTGGGCTGAGAGGAGAGGTTTCCATTTACTTCAGCCTGCGTATCTTACTTCACAGGAAACAGAAATTGCATCCCTTGAGAATTACATGACACCACTTGATAGCCTGCCGGTGACTCATCCATGGTTTCTGTTCTTATGGTTAAACTCAGTTGCCTTACACCTTTCCCAAAGTTTACTGTCAGTTTGCTGTCACTACTAACAATAAGAGAAACAGCAGAAGACACAACAACCTCAGAGTCTCTCCTGTGGAGAGAAAGAAACCTGGTGGACTGGGAAGCAAAGTGGCCTTCTTACTTTGAAACATTGTAATCAGCCAATATGACAACTTTTAGCTAAGAGGAGTAATAATGGTTGGTACAAAATCATGGCTATTTCTATTTTGTGCCCTTTCCTAAACTGAAGCTACCTAACAGGAGTGAGGATGTTACACTCAAAAATTTTGAGTCTTTTGAATACACTGAACAAAATAAGTCAAGTGGAATGGTCACTTTCAGTAAACAGGCTACTAAAGAGAGGAAATGGGCTCTTGACTGCACATTTCCTGACTAGCGGTTGCCAATGAAGCTTACATATTACAAATACTTTGAGGTGCTTAACATACTGTAAACAACAACAACAATAACAAATGCCCTGAGAGTCAGAAATCCTAATTCAGTAGCTTGACCCGAATCTTTAGGTGATACCTGTTTTATTTAGGTATTCTCCATACACATCTCTTTTGTATTTTTAAAACTATAACTTTTTGTTTGTTTTGTGTTGTTTTTAAAGGTTATATTTTATTTGCAAGTCAGATATACAGAGAGGCTTAGAGACATAGAGATCTTAATCTTCCATCTGCTGATTCATTCCCTATGTGGTCTCAACAGCTGAAGCTGAGCTGATCCAAGGCCAAGAGTCAGGGGCCTCCTCCAGCGGGGTCCCAAGGCCTTGGGCCATCCTCTACTGCTTTCCCAGGCCACAAGCAGGAAGCTGGATGGGAAGCGGGGTCACTGGGATTAAAACCAGTGCCCATATGGGATCCCGGGCATGTGCAAGGCAAGGTCTGTAGCTGTTAGGCTACTGTGCCTAACCCAACTATAATTTTGAAATTTTAGATTAGCATGAAAACCTTCTATGTATATTTTCTGGCATACAACATTCATATATATATATATTCATATGTACATATACACACACACATAGGTACAGATAGATAGATATCTCACATTTTTTTTTACTCAGCCTTATGCTGATTTTTTTTTTTAATGTTGGCTATGGTTTTTATCTCAATACAATAAGTACAGGCATATCTTTCAGAAAATAACTGGTCTTGAAGTTTACTTCAATAATTTAGTATAAGTAAACCCATAAAAAAAACCTTAAGATGCTTTTTAAATCCAAAATAATTTACAATGCTGAATTTTGTTCCTAGTAAAAAAAAATGAAGAAAATTTATTTTATCCTGCAAAATCCTTCCATATAGAAATTCCAACTGAACTTTGTGGTAAACTCAAAACAGGCAGTAAATTACCATATTCAATATTACTATTAGTCAATTCATTAATTACGTTGTTAGTGTTACTAGCCACAGAGGTATCTAAAAACTGATTCAGGGTAGAATGTAATGAGTTTTATCAGACTTTAAATATTAAATATGAGTTTATTTTGTGTAAAACATTCATAAAGTTTTATGTTTTCAACTGTGACTGATAGCTCTCTGGTGACCAATTCAGCCACTAAATTACTGAAAACTAGGACTTTATTTGGGTTCTGGCTCTTAGAACAGGTTATACAGTCACTTTCAAAGCATGTAGTGCTTTTGGTAGCCTAGCTAAACTTCTAGTGTAACACACTGGAGCTTAATCACCTTTTAGGACAATACCTACATCTATTTGGATTAACGTCTCAATGACTGACAGCTTACCAATTCTAATTTCAATTACTAGAGTTCAATTAAACCTTCAAAAAATATGTTCCCAATTCTACAGCTGAATCAGGATGAGAAGAATGCCAACTTCTACAGAGCCTATGAGGAGTGGAAGGAAAACAACAACAACAACAAAACCACTAGAGGTGCTATTACCTATGTGTTAAACTCATGGTTTTGCTAATGTACAATAATGCCCTTTGTGGCTCAGGAGCAAGAAAGATAAGTTAGGCATTTTTAGTGTCTTGGGATTTTTTTTCCTTTTAATGAAAGTCACTATATTCTAATCCATAGAAGTAATGCACCAATAAGCAGGCAAAAGTCTTGTTAGGGATGGCAGAACCTACTTAATTTCTCCAATTTGCTGGGCACTGAAATGATAAAGTGGTAAACCTCAGGTTCTGAGACACCACAACTTTCTCCATTACTATGGCTTTCATTCAACAGCTAAGAAAAAACAAACAAACAAAAAATCCTGAGTAAATATTTTCTTCTAAATTCTATTAATGACAAACAGCCTTCATTGACCTGACAGAATGACAAAACTATGACATAGTCAAAGAACAGAAGAGCAACGTGACCAATACTTAGAAGAGTCACAATTGGAGAAAACATCTCTCTGTGCCCCAAATATTCAGGGGAGCGTTATTTAAATCTCTGTCATGTAACTCAAATTTACAAGTCTCATTAGCAGGTAAGCCATTGCCAAGGTCTCTGGGTTTCTGGACTGACTGGCCTGCACACTCACAGCAACCACAGCACAGCACAGCACAGCACAAGGAAATTTCAGTACAGAAAATAGAGAAGTTGAGATTTTTGAGAAAACAGTTAATCAAAATATCCCAGAATCTGCAATCAATAAAATGAAACGCCTTTTCAACAGTTCCCAATATTTTTTAATCTCATTCTCCCTGAGTTTTTCAGGTCATCATTCTCAAGACTTGAAAACACAAGAAATTCACTAACTGAACAAGCCATGTGTCTACCTCCAACTATTAAATAGTAAAATTGTTTAAGTTCCAGCAATGAAGATAAATCTGTTGCAGCCTTAAAATAAGGTTAAAATGTTGACTGACAGAGTATCTTGTAATAAAATCCTTTAGCCATTTACAAAGATACCACAGTATATTTCACTAAAAATTTACAGTCAAAAATGTATACACTTTATGTTGAGTTTATAATTCAACTTGCAGAAAATGATAAACTGTTTTGAATGTGTAGACCAATAGAGAAGCTGTTTTCAAAAGTTTCATTCATTTCTCCCAAGCTTTCCACTACTTTTCAACTGAATATGTGGTTGGTGCCAGCTGTTATTTATTTTACTACATTCTTCTTTAAGTTAAATACAAGTTTCATCTATGTTATGAACTTTCAGAACTAGGTTTTTTTTTTTACACCAAGAATAATTGCTAGTACCTAGCCTTTTATTTCAATATTCTAACCTGTTCCTAAAGCACTGCAAAAATCCCATGTCTATAGGGTGTTAGAAAGGAGAAAGGATATCGAGCAGCTTAGATTGCAGCAATTTTAATACCTCTCTGGCCATACTGGAAAACAAAAACAAACAAACAAAAAAACCACTCTGCTGGCAACATTAAAGGAACAAGACATTTGCCTGCAACACCAGTAGGGAAGTCTGTGAGTCAGTGTGTTCATTCACTCTTCCTGAACCTATTGCAAATACCCTGGACCGCGACCATCAAGGTTAACCAATCCTTAGAACACATTTATAAGGTCATATTCACAGAATCAGAATATAGAGGTAGGATAACCGTTCCTCTCACACACTGCTCCCGTCTTTGGAATTCTAATTTGTCCTTCTGAACTTTAAATAAATAAATACAACTGCCTCATAACTCCAGGAAGAATATTCTCTTCCTTACTCCTCCCATACCACCCGTACCCTTTGTCCAACATTCTTTTCAGGACTACCTAACAAGGTATATAAATTTGAAAGGGAAAGCTTATAAATCCATCTTCCTTCAGATCCAAGCATAAAGCCTAAATAAGAGTATTTGTGGTAGAAATATCCTTTCAGCAAAATAAAAAAAGGAAAATGGGTATCACCTTAGAGCCTACCAGGATGTGTGAGCAGCTGCAGTGTTTGCAACTTACTTGCAGTGCCAAGGACATGAGCAGAAATTTCAATTAGTAGTTTTTCACAGTCATTACTGTGTCAATGATGGTCTTTAACAATAAGCCTCATGAATGCCAGACATTTTAGGTTGATATCTAATACTTGCCTAATTCCTTTAGAGGTACCAAGAACTTACCAATATATTACAGCACCAACTGTAAGATTAGAGAAAATTTAAAGCTTAAACAAATAAACAAATAAATAAATAAATAACTTAAGGGAATGATATTTGATTTCATCAAAATCATTTCCACGTCTATAGCAAGGCCAAAATTGCCAGGCATCAGTCCACAGATAAAAATAGATGTGAAATTCAGAAACTTGCAATTTTTGGAAACGGCCTCGCTGATTTGGACAAAAATGTACTGAGGCCCATAATTTGAGAAACACTGTTATAAAAGATTGCCTACCCAACCCCTCATTTTACAGATGAGAATGACAAGGTTCAACCTAGCTCTTCCACCCCTGCTGGCAGGCTAATTCTACTAAGGCAGTTATCAATTGATCATTAGGATCCACTGAAGCAAAACTCTAAAATTGGGATCTTTGATTTGGTATCAAAATTTGAATTATACTCTTGGCAAACACTTGGGAATACACTTGGGATGTCCAACTCCACTGCCACCTGGGCCTGACACAACCTGCCGAGGAATCAGTGCTTACTCACAGACAAAGAAAAGTACACCTGTCTTCCTTCTCCCTTCAGACCTGGGATGGATGGAGAGAGAGAAAGAGAGTGTGCGTGCATGTGTGTGTATCTTTCCTAATATATATATATATATTCATATCTTTGCTCCCAGATTTACTTCAAAGTCATACAAAGGTCAACGAAGATGCTTATCACATACACCCACAGATATGATGTGAGGATTTTAAGATGGTCCTTTGTTACCTGGATCGTGGTGGTGAGGCCGCTCCTCACTCTCTGAGAAGGGCGGAGACCTGGGCCCATGTCTCCTTCCTCTGTGCTCACCTTGCCCGGGCTCCCTCCCACACACCGGTTCCTTGCAGTGAAGCCCCGCATTCGGTGAGGACACCGGTGAAAGTCTCTCTTGGTGTCGGGACCGTTTCCCCAAATTCCGAGTTCGATGGCCATTGTAGGCCTCCCAGTCATCAGCCTCAGTGGTGAGAAACACCTCCCCACTGATCCTGGGGAGCGGAGGTCTCCGGGGCCTCTCCTGACCAGACCCAGTCCTCTCACGATGCTCGCTGGTAACGTGAGGATTGTCCCCCCCTTCACCCCAGCTAGAGGATGACAGGGATCTGTCTGATGAACGACGGTCTTCCTGCTCTTCCGAGTTCTCCAGTGGATGCTGAGGTTTCTTTTTCCTTTGCTTGGCAGTATTTCCATCACTTGGGAGTCTATGAGACCTTGAATATCCAGATCCCACTTCCTTAGCCCTCCTTGACCTTGGTTGGTCTGAGCGGAGGTGGAGGGATGTGAAAAATAAAAATGCAGGTTAACTTAATGGGAGCATGAACTATGACACATGACAATCAGGACCCAAGTTTTGTACACCTTAACAATGGAGAAAATTGCTTTTCCAAATCAAATTGAGCAATGGGGTTAATACACTCATGATCACACTTTCACAGCCACACAGGTAAAAGAAAACTAATAATTAAGTGAAACCATTTAAAACTGTAAGAAGAATTTGTTTATAACCAGGTAGAATTGCAAGAGTAGTTCAATATTTGCCAATAACAGAAAATATAGGAAATGAACACTAAATTTTACTTATAAAAGCACTTTTGAAGTATTAAAAGGGAAAAATAAAGTTCTGATTTCAGAAGCTTACAAATATCAGAACTGACAATAACGCTATGTTAGCAAGTTGCAAGTTCTGAGTATTCATGCAGACATTTTAGTGCTCCTCCAGTCCTCACACTGCCACTGACAGATGTGGAATCATTCCCCACCACTTCAAGGGCTGCCGTTTATTGCAGTTTAGCATGGGTAGGGATGCAGAACTTGAAGTAAGTGACTCGATCATCTTTAGATAACTCTGTTCCTAATCTCAATAGGACCATGGGGGGGGGGGGGAGAGTGGATTTTTAAAACAGATGTTACAATGGAACATATAAGAATGCTTATTTCCAAAACATATTTCACAAATACTTATAATGTTATATTATTTATGCAAGAAAGAATTCTAAATTTTTAAGTTCTAAGTACAACTTCCCAAGTTCAACCTAAGCATCAAGACAGCTCATGTCTGTATTTGTCATGGTTCTCTTTTAGCATGTTCTCAAAGGAAGCCAGTTAATCTGCACTTTCCAAAAGCATATGGACTTTAAAATATTTTCTGAGGCTTTTAACTACATTGTAGAAATAACAGAAGAAAATTATTGGAAAATTACTAAAACTGCTAAGATCTAGCCTCTGTTGCAATTTACAATTTGCTGAACTGCATTTGAAATAGCAATGGCACTATTCAAGTATTATAGAGGTAGAAGAAATAATATTCAAGTATTATAGAGCTATTACTGCATTTTCAGACTTGACCTGGAAAAAAAAAATCTATTCTCAAATGTACCTGCTTTATTATCTTTAAATTTGAGAAAGAGAAGTAAAAGATTTTTGCATGAATTCTTGATATTCATATTCCTTCTAGCTAAGAATCAAGACTTCTATGTCTCTTGAGAATAAGTTATTTGGCAAATATAATGAAGTCCTCATTGGCAACAGATTTGTAAATTTCTCAGTCTACCTACAGATAAGCAGACACATAAATGCACATACTTTGTGTGTGTTCCCATGTTTATCTTTCAAAACTGGATGGATTTGTTGAGATACACAACAGACTGTGTTACACAGGTATTAACACTGTTATGCGTATAAACAATAGTACATTAGAGTTTAGAAGACCTTCACCAAAATGTCTAAGTGAAGGAATGTTTTTAGAATACCATTCTACAGATGAGGAACAACATTTCCTGAAGCTATGGTTGATAATTTTTGTTAAAATTGTTTTAAGAAAGGAATGGGATATGAATTATAATCATATGACTTCAAATACTAATTTTTTTTAAAAAAAGTTCACACTTCTAAAAAAAATGGCTTTGAAAGAAAACATGGATTCACAAATGAAGAACAACATATTTCACAGTTGATATAAATTTGAGAAATGTTAGATAATTTCAACAAATAGAAAATCCATGAGATAATTTTGCACGATTTGTTAACATTTATGTAAAATAAAAGCTAAAGCCATCCAACATTTCTACAACAATAAATTGTGATTATTATTTAAGGCAAAAACAGAATTACGCAAAAAGATAGAGCAGTGCAATTAAAGAATATTCCAGATGTGTTGGGAAAGGATCACTGTGAAGAACAAGAGAAATACTTTGCCATCACAAATTCGGCTATAATATGGCTTCCATGGGAACTCAGTTTGGGCTCAAAGGGATATAAATTAGTACCATGTGAGGAACAAAATATAACTGTCCTATCACAACACAGCTAAGATGAGAAATGGAAATACACAAAAACGTGTAATTTATCTTAATCCTTTGAAAACAAACATATATATCATTCTGTACTGCTTTACAAAAGCAGATAAAAGAATAAACATATTTTCATAACTTTAAGGTGGCCCTAAAAGCGAATAAAACCGTAGCAGTCTCGTGCTCTAGAGATGCCAACCAGGATTCAGTACTGCAGTAAAGCAAGTGTGCGTCCCAATCCAGGTAAGGCTTCAATTAAAAGAGGAGGACCGAAAGTAATAACTTCACTGTGCTCAGTTACTTACAAAAACAAACACAAATCTAAAAAGATGTAAAACTTATTTCCAATATTTCAGCTGGGATTCACTCCAAACTTTTGCCCTTCAGCAAAGCAAAATATGCCAACAATTCTTTCAACTGCATATTTAACTTCATCAGGACAATCAATGTAAGGGAAACTACTGCAAAAACCAGAGCTGAGCATTTTATGGAGAAACAAACATGTAAAAACAGGAATAGAAAATTAACCTACTTACTAAATAAATAGGCCACGGTAAAGCTGAGCTCGACAGTTTGCAGTAAATTGAGGACAAAAAGAAAACAAAAAATGAGCAGACATGATACTTGAACTGTAAGGATCCTCTCACCTACATATGCATTCTTTTCATCCTATTCATCAAAGATAAATATACCTGTTTGCTTCCCTCATGCAATGGAATTATACAAAAGCAGGTGACAACTGGTTTACAAGGCACTGCAAGATCACTAACCTTAAAATCACTAAAGTTGTCGTGAAGGTTTTGTTCACTGTTTACCCTGATTTAATCTCCAAGCTAAAGTCTAATAAATACACATATGTGAAACACTAGGAAATATCCTTCCTTATATAATGTGTAAAAAGAACTGAGTGACACTTGCAAATATTCATTTCCCAACACACGTTCAAGATACAGGACCACCAGTAGCCACCACCATATCTTCACTTTATTACACAAGCAGGCATCAGAGAGCTGAAATGCCACAGAGACTGCTTTCCCTCAGAAATAAACCTACTTGGTAATCAAACGGCAAAGAAAGCATCAGGAGCAAAATTTGAAAATCAAATCTCAGAACAACATTATTTATTTACTAAAGTATTGTCACCAGCAGGCTATAAAGATGAGAAAGCATGGAAAGAAGCTTTGCAACCCAGGAACCACAATCGTGCACCAGTACTATCTTACTGATCAAAACATGATGACCCAGATTTCCTTGAGCAAAGTAACAGATTCACTCACCATTTTCCACACCCCATTTCATGTGCTTAGAATGTAATACAGCATTTCAAGTGGTTACAACCTACAGGGATGCATGCCAACTCTAACAAAACCATATCCAGTTTTAACCATCATGAAGATATCTGTCCAAGTAGGGGACACGAGGATGAATTCAATACACTCACAAAATTTTGCCACAAATATAAATGTGTTCAAGTATCTTGGGATAAGAAAAACATTTCCAGGTCCCTAGGTTCATTCAGGGACAACACTACATGGGTGTCTCATATGGTTAGGTGTAAGAATAGAGTAAGTTATGATGTAACATTTTACCTCCATCTTCATAATAGAAACTATCTCCATAATCATTGCCTCCAGAGAACTCTGGAATGTGTTTCTTTCGCCTTTTCTCTTCCTGTAACTCTCTTTCTTGCAAGAGGCGAGCTATGTCCTGTGGGGACAAGAAGGCATAGAGATAAGCATTGTCAACGAATGAACAAGCTCATACTAACACGGTTTTACATCTGCCAGCCAAGCTTCCACAGGCTCTATCCATGGTTCTCTAGACTTCCTGGCATTAATGTTTTGCTTTTGAAATGCCACAAGTAACTGCTCAATAGGAACAGCGCATGATCCTTGAGTGAGACACGCTTCTTGCCTACTCCCGGCCCCCGCCATCGCTAAGCTGGAGTTCAATTCCAACTCAATCAGAAAAGAGACAACACTAGTACTTCCTAGAACAGTCTCTACAGCAGGACTCTGGAAAATACTATTTGTTGGCCACTCTTCCCAGGTGAGGATGCATTAAGTCTATACGGGGAACTAAACTATAAAACGTTGTAGATTTCTAATCTAATTTCAAAATGTCTAAGAATTATTGACATGATTCTGTTTAGCTTGGCATTACAGAACCACTGTTTGAACTGAAAATGGCCAAAGAATCTTCCCACTGTATCTCAGCTACTTCAATCCAGGACAAGGCTGTGCAGTTACTATATTCCAGGCCCTGTGAGGGACAGAGTGATAAACAGCATTCCAACACAATACCCCAAAAGCTCACTTTCTTGCATGAAAAGTAAGGTATATACAAATCAATTTTTTTTTTTTGTAATTCACTGAAATGCTCAAAAAGTGTTAGAAATGTTTGTGGAAGTATAAAAATGAAAATGTTGGAGACTGTGCCGTGGTGTAGTAGCTAAAGTCTCTGCCTGTAGTGCCAACATCCCATATGGGCACCAGTTCATATTCTGACTATTTCACTTCTGATACAGCTCCCTGCTTATTGCCTGGGAAAGCAATGAAAGATGGATCAAATCATTGGGACCCTGCACCCAGGGGAGTCCCAAAGTAAGCCAATGGCTCCTGGCTTCAGTCAGCTCAGCAGCCATTCTGGATATTTAGAAAGTGAACCAGTGCATGGAGGAAGGGACTACAATATATTTTTTGAATTAAGTAGAAACAATCTGGTTAGTACAGCTATAAAAATTAGCAGTGATTGTCATAACCTCAAATTTTCAACAAATAGTCTTAATCTGTTAAATAAATGCCTAAATTGATAATATACAACATATTATCAACACATTAATTTTAACTGATAAACACAGTATACACACACACATACACACACTCACACAGGCCATTTTAAAGCCCATCCTGCACAACAGTGACATGCATTGGCCACTGACAATATGTTACAACTGTGAATGTGATAAAGGAAGAAGCCCTATTTGACTCAGGTATATCATTTCACACAGAGAATTTGGAATCCCTAAGACTTTAACGGAAAAAACTGTCTGTGTCAAAGACAGAGAAAAACAGTGAGTACTTAGTACTCTGGTGCTGTGTGCCTCAGCTGCCAGGCATGCCTCGGTCTGCATTTGAGTGTCTGATTCCAGTATCAGATATTCTATTTCACATCTGATTTCCTGCTTGCTTGGAAATATAGCAGATTCTTTACATGATGAAAAGCTGAAACTATCCAATGTAAAACAAGAAGTTACTGATATTATTCTGAAGGTAAAAATGACAGGAGACAGAGGGAGGGCGGGGGAGATCATGAGAGAAAAAGAAACAGAAAAAGAAGGAGAGTGGGGGGGGGGGACAACTAAGAGGGAAAGAAAAAGAGAGAGAAAAATTTGTTCACAGAAGCCTAAAGGTTCGACCAGGCCAAAGTCAGGAGCCAGGAATTCCACGGTGTCTCTACTGTGTGGCTGGCAAGAACCCAAGTCCTTGGGTTATCCCTATTGCATACACTAAAAACACTAGTAGAAGGTTGATGGGATGAGGGGAAGAACAGGCCCTCAAACGCCACACTCTGACTATGAGTTAACCTTCTACACCCCAACACACACCTTACTCAATCTTAAAGTCAAATGTGTGTCACCTGACCGTGTCCCTTTAATAAACCTGTGTTTACCAGGTCACTGTTCAATATCAAAATATTCACAAAGAAAGTTGGAGAGCATCTTTCACAGAGAAAGACAGAGAGCTTTGTCCACCTGAAACTATTATTTTACTATGGAATTCATCAAATCCCTGTAATGTTTATCACAGAAGTAGAAAGAAATGGCTAAAACTTCCCTGAGCTGTCATGTTTATGAGACACTTAACCAGTACATTTTTCTAAGGAGTTTACGTTATAATAAATTTAAAAATTTTCCCTGCTGTTACTGAGAGAAAAAATACAGAGAGGAAATTTCAGACCTAACTGCCAACAGAAATTATCGAAGTATTCTCCAGGGACCTTAAAATCGCTTTCCTGCTATTTAGTCCTAACGGATACACTGTAATAAGCCACTCTTTCGAGAACCAGAACTATAAGAAGAACTAGAAGAGAAATAAGACTTAGCTACCTTTTTCATAATGCATTACTCGTTAAAAAATCTTTTAATCAAACGTAAACACAATCTATTCCCTTTTGTTCAGAGCTCTCAGTAATTTTTCCCCCTTTCCCTCTGTTTTCTTTGAGTGGTAAATGGGCAAACACTGAGTGAGAAAGAGTGGGTACCCATTCACTGCTTTACACTGCAAACAACTACAACAGCCAGTGACTATGCTAACATCAAAGGCAGGACAAGCAACTCAACCCAAGTCTCCTACATGAGTGACAGGAACTAATTACCTGAACCATCACTGCACGCCTTGCAAGGCAGGCAGAGCAAGAGCGGCAGTCAGAAACAGTACTGAGTACTACTCCCAGAGGGTCTGATTTAAGACCCCATTTTGTCATCAGTAACTGTTATATGTCACTCATATATGAATATTATATGAATTATAGATATCCATGAATATTATATGAATAACTCATAACAGTTACTTAAATTGTTATATTAATAACCTCCTGTTCCAGGGGTTTAGATCAGGATTAAACTAAGCACTAACGTGACTGGAATAGACTCAAAGACTGAAGTCATCACCAATCTGAGCTGGAAGTGAATCAAAGCAACCCCATGTGAGACGTAGAAGTCTCCAGATGTAGCTTAACTACTTAATCACTCTGCCAAAGACCCACCACAAGGCATGTGTGTATCTTAATTGTTGGACAGACACCCACTCCTGGATTTTTTCAGTAGCAGCTAGAGAAGTTTTAGTAGGCCACAGGAAATAAAGGATAGAGAATTCCATAGAAATGCACCATTGTATGATGTGTGGGGTTTAGAATCAGTCTGATCCCCATGATTTGCAACCTAACTATGCTAAGTATGTTAAGTTCAGTTAGGTGACTTCAGTATAAAGAAATTTCCTCTCAAACGAGCTAAAGATGTCAATCATTCATTCCAACAATGAAGTACAGTTCACCAACATCAACACCTTTCAATAAGCAACTCTGTTGGAGTTCGGCTTCCTTCCGGTAAAGCTTAATCTAGGACAGCAATTCCTGAGTTCTGTTTCTGAGAACATTGATGTGAAGTTCTCAGCCAAAGTTTTCCCCTGCCACACATACTCTCCCTAAAAAAATACAATGTATTCAATTGATAGCACTGACTACATGTAACTTTGTAAAATGATCATAAGTACATTTTAAAATTTCAAAGGCAGAGAGAGAGAGAGAGAAAGAAACAGAGCCTTCCACCAACTGGTTCACTTCTCTACGACGCCCTGGATTGGGTAAGGTCAAGTCAGGAGCCAAGAACTTCATTGAGGTCTCCCCAACAGGTGTCAGGAACGCAAGTGTTACATCGCTATCTTCTATCTTTCCAGGCACATAAGCAGGAAGCCAGAAGGGAAACAGAAAAATTAATATTGGAATCTAGCACCCAAATATGGATTACAGTCATTCCTAGCAGCAGCCTAACAGGCTGCACCACACCAGTCCAGAGAACACTTGTCCATTGAAACCAAAGCTATTCAAATTTTTCTAATGACAAAAACCTTAAAAATAAATAAATACATAAATAACATAGGGCCCAGTGCGGTAGCCTATTGGCCTGGTGGCTAAAGTGCTTGCCTTGTATGTGCTGGGTGCTGGTTCATTTCCTGGATATTCCAATTCCCTTCCAGCTTCCTGCTTGTCTCCTGGAAAAGCAGTAGAGGACGGCCCTAAGCCTTGGGACTCTGCACCCATGTGGGAGACCCAGAAGAAGCTCCTCGTTCCTGGCTTCAGATGAGCTCAGCTATGGCCATTGTGGACACTTAGGAAATGAATCAGTGGATGGAAGATCTTTCTGTCACTCCTTCTCTCTGTGAATCTGACTTTTCAATAAAAAATGAAATAAAATAAAATCTTAAAAAAAAACCCACATAAATAACATAAACCTTAGAGTACCTGTGTTCTATGTGATGTAAAAAAAACAAACAAAAAAAACAAAAAAAAAAACCAAACACATGTAAAGGACCTCCTAAATCCTTTTGAAGACCATTTTCAATCAGTTTTTAATTCATCAGGTAAACTACTTTGAGCTAATCTACAGAAATAATCTTGTCCCAAAGATTATTTTTTAGTAAAACAAATTTACTGATATGGGACTTTACTAGTATATCTCACTTCTTTGCTTATTATCCAAACTTGTCTAACCATACAAAAAAAAATGAAACTATAACTATAAAAGGGCACAGTTAAGGATCTCAAGAATGCTAAAGATTTCAATGAAAACATGGATTAATTGGTACCCCTCGAAGGGACAAACATCTAGCTGTTAACCAGTAGTGATCTGGGATACGGGATTAATGATCTTGACGTTCCCACCTGCTAAGTGTTAGCAGCAAACCAACAGTATAATGTAAGAATGCAGAGATGGATGCCCTGAGAATCATTAACATAAACAAGATTCTACGGAGCTCTTTCCTCTTCCAAAGTCAATTCCAAACTATTGTTAACATGACATGGAGTTTCTTACGGAAATGTGATGCCTCGAATCATGAGTGTGGAATGAAATCCTTTGGCCTGGGCCTGTCAAGACAATCTTAGGCAGGACTCCAAAGTAAACAAATCTATAGCAGGCAAATTTTTAAAGTATGATTGCATATGATCTATGAAATATGTTGTAAATACCCAAATGACCTTTAGCAGAAAAAAAATTTCCCTACTCCTTCTTTATATGATTTACGGCAGGGTTTACGTTTTTCTTAAAATCATCACCTTTGAGATTGGCAGCAATTCAGAACTGGTGAATTATCAAAAGCTCTTGTGTAGGACCCTCAGAGCATGCCTCACATCGGGGACCTGGGATGGGTGGGGGGCTGCGTGGAGCTTCTCCCTTTTTCTTGCCGTTTACCCCAGATACAGAAATAATAATAATAAATATGGAAACAACAGTCTCACCCACTTTGCTGTAGCCCTTGACACTTTGTGACCGAATCAACTACGTAAAGATTGAAAAAAAAAATCTTCATCCTTATCCTACAATCACACTGAGCTTTAAAAGCAGGGAATCCTGGAGCCAGCACTGTGGCATAGTTTGTAAAGCTGCTGCCATTGGTTCATGCCTCAGCTCTGCACTTCTGCTCCAGCTCCCTGAGAACGGCCCGAGGAGAGTAGAGGGATACAGCCTGAGCACCTGGATCCCTCTCGCCCACGTCAGATACCCCGACGAAGCTTCTCAGTTCCGGCTCCAACGTGGCTCAATCCTGGCCATGTGGTCACTTGGGAAGTGAACCAGCAGAGGGAAGATCCCTCTCTCTTCCTCTGTCTTTCTGTCTCTTTCTCTCTTTCAAATAAATAAATAAATCTCTTAGGAAAAATAAAAAAAAGATTGAGTTTAAAACTACCAAAAGATACATCTAAAAATGTAATTACCAAATAATTATTAGAATGGGATCAAAATGAAAACCAATCCACTTGATTGATAATGTTTATTAACTAGCAATTAACATATTGATCTAAATGAATAGGATTTCAAAGAAAAGTATAACATCAAAGGGTTATCCTATGATGCCAGGAAAACTGTACAACATCAATTATATGAGGAAAATACAACAACTGGAATACCAACAGGGAAAAATAATTTTCTCAGCCAGAAGCCTCTGTCTAATATCCCATCTGGTAACATATTCATAAGTCTATTTTTAAATTGCCAACACAAAGAAAAAGTTCAACAACTAAGGTGTATTACTATATGAATTAGTCTCTAAACATTACAAACATATTTCCTGTAGAATGTGAAATTCCGATTACCCTCAGAGTCCTATGAATAAGTATCACAGCTTCGCATTGGCTGTGACATCGGTACCTTTTATTATAAACTCGTTCCCAGCATTATCCCTAAGCATTTTACTTTGTTTTTTCAAACTGTTGCCAAAAACTGCATGGTGCTTGGCCAGGCTAATATTTATTTAATCTAAAAATATCCTGTTTCCTAAAATAGCTGCACATACATATTGAATCTAGGTTCATATACACAGGGAGTCAAACACACACACACAATACTTACATGTATTTCTAAGTTAAATCGACCAAACACACATTCACTGATTTTAGGTAATGCATGAAAATGCTTATATTGTGACAAAAGAGAAGGGTCCCAATGGAATTAGTTTACTTTTATTGATCACAGATTTATATAGCTCTATATACCCCAAGGCTGCAAGCCCCTTCAAGAGGTGGCCAGAGAGACACTCAACTGAGCAATGAAGACACTAGTTGAAACTATTAAGAAAGAAACAGAGAAAGAGAAAAAGGAAAAGGGAGGAAGGGAGGAAGGAGAGAGCGTAGAGGAGGGCAGAGGAGGGAGAGAGGAAGAAAGCAGAGACAAGGAAACAGGAAACAAAAGCACAGGATCCATGTTAGTAAGCAGAACAACTTACCAAACTTTTCCCATCTGTTTCCCTGAATGGGAATACTGCACTTCATACATAAGTGCTCGTTTAACAAATAATGAAATTATAGCATAACAAAACTATAAATCCACGCTAATTCAACCAAAGTTGTCCAGCTCCACTGTTTCTCAAAAAAAGATATTTATCTGTATATGTATACAGAGGCACACACACACACAGAGGTATGGGTATATGAATATGTATATCTCCACAAGGGAAAGAGCCCTATATTTGCATCTGGTTACTTTGGAGGAGTCCAAATTGTCAATGTGATTTGACCCCAAAATACAGACGAAATCTGGGAGGAATTTTCAATAGCTTTACTACTGAATAAGAAATTACTAACTGAGCAGACTCCACTAAAAAATGAGATGAGCATACAGAAGAAAAATAAAAGAAGTAGGACAGTTGGTGAGTAACAGGAAATGCTTTCTCAAAAACTAGCCAGAAGAATCTGGAATCTACACTCTGTCTCAGCTTCAGTCTTCTCTGAATCCGAGGTGCCTTGTTTCCCAAGGACTAAAATAGGAACGTGCTATCATGTAACCTTTCAGTGAAAAATTTTACTCATGCAAATTTTTTAAATTTAGTATTAACATATTACTCAGCTAACAGTCCCATTTTCCACCATGAAAGAACCTGAAACACAGAACACCTACTAGGTTACACTACGAATTAAAAAGCTAGAACGTCTGACTGAAGGTCATCATCAAACCTCCACAAGTAGATTTCCATTTAACATTTTCACTCTACTAGGAAGGAGAAACACTGACGGGCCAAATGGTCATGAGGAGCAAAACAGGATTCCTCGGGTCATATCATACTGGAACAGTCTCACGCCTCGCTTCTTCCCTTTTCCATTTGGCACTGTCTCTGTAAATCAGGTATTAGCACTGTTGTAGGGGAAGTGGAGAAGGCAGCAAAGAATCCAAGAGGCAGGAGAGGCCTTTTATGTGTGATCTCATTTAAAGCACACAATAACTCCTTAGGGTATGTGCAACTATCATAATGTACCCACTGTGGTAACTGAGGTGGGACACAGTTGAGATGCTGCTTCACAAACCTGCTCTGCTCAGCTTGGGAAAAGAGAGGGTTAAGCTCACCCACTTGTGATGCCCACGGCCCTTATCAGAGCTCTGGCTTGAATCCCGGCTACTCTGCCACAGGCCAGCTCCCTGCCAGAATGCTAGAGAAGGCTGATGGTGAAGGCCCCGTGCCCGAGCAGCTGCTGCCCATCTGGGAGACCCATCTGGAGTACTCAGTTCCTGCTTTCAGCCTAGCATCCCCAGTGGCTGCAGCCATTCGTGTCAGAGTCAGTAACTGGAAAACATTTCTCTCCCCCTCTATTTTTCCTCTTCATTCTCTCTGCTCTATCAAATAAATATGTAAATTAAAAAATATTTAAGGCTAGATATAAGTTAATGAATTAAATTTCAAAGCCGGCTCAGTCTGACTGCAAGGCCCTCCTGTTTAGGTGGTGTCACAGTATGCCTAAGTCAGAAGCAGTCAGAACTGAATCTAACAGACATTTCGTTGGTTTCTTATAATAACTTGGGTCTGATAGTCACTTCTAGTTCCCACTTTCGTTCTCAGGGCAAACTACTAAGGAAAAGCAACAAGAGCTGTACCAAGAAAGAGTCTCCCACGTTGAGAACGTGAATCATTAAGAAAAAATCTAATTCTTACAATTCTGATTTTGACATCATTAACAGTTTATTTTTAAAAGAAATAACTAAACACACTCATATCAGGTGCTTCTCTCTTGTAAAGAATAAGAAGTTGGAGAAACAAAAGTAGTTCAGCGGAGATGGCAGCGTGTCTGGTGGCTTCTTAATGGTGCTGATCCACGCCTATTGCATAGGAGACTCGTACACATCTGTCTGCCCAGTACAGCTTCAGTTTACATAATGAGTGGCCTGCCCTGTAAGCACTCAATGGACTTTCAGAGGTGGCATTCCCAGAATAGAGGGTCATTCTAAGATTTAAAATGATGAATCATTTTTCTTCTCCATTACAAACTAAGTCAGTGGCCAATAATAGCATGACAGGTATGAGAGAAGATCAACAGAATTGACATAAAGCGTAATAAGCTATTTGGAAGAAGGGCTGAGAATATAAACACAAGAGAAAATCAATATTTACTGTAAATTCAAGTCTTCTCACAAACTAAAAGACATTGCTAATTGTAACCATTGTCAGCTTTAGAATATATGTATAATTTAAAATTTAAAAATGCATACAAAATCAGATTAGTTCTCCATGTCAAAAGATCATTAAGAAAAAAAAGGATGAGAGAGAAATATTGCATTGTAGTTTCATAGAAGGACTATTCCTTGACTCAGGCATCATTCAGGTCATCTCTCTTGGGAAACATAAACAAACAAACAAACAAAATAATCGGGGCACAGCCAACCTTGTTGGAAGCTGTAAAATGCCCCCGAATTCATTTTCACACAAAACCTCAGAATGGGATGTTATTTTAGTTAAAAAAAAAAAAAAAAGAATCTTGACAGGTGTGTCAAATATTGAATTAGTGTGGTTCTTCAACTGGTGACCTTAGAAGATGACAAAACAACACAAAGGTAAGTGGAGGACAGTGGGTTGTCCGACAACGGAGACACAAACTGAAGAGATGCAGAGACCGTTCAAGGGATACCACACTTGCCAAAAGTCACAAACAGGTGTCATGGGCAGAGAACTATCCTCCCAGGAAGCAGCATGATCCTACCAAAACTGAGTTTATACTGCTTGTCTCCCACACTGTGGAGGAGTAATTGTCACCTTATCAAGCAACATTGTGGCATTTCTTTTTCTTCTTCTTCTTCTTTTTTTTTTTTTTTTTTTTTTGCTTTAGCAGTAGCACGGAACCAACTTTACGTTTATGCATAACCATTATCATCTCTCAAGACTTCAGCCCTTCCACAACCGATCACAACAGGATAGTGGCTCGTGGAGGACAATGCTTGGAGGACAGCTTGCCCAGCGAGGAGAGTTCTGCTGAACACTCAACAACCCTGCAATGAACCCATGGATCCTAAAAAGGCCTTCCTCTATGGCTGAACACCCTTTCCCCACCGGCGGAGGAGGGGTGCTGACTAGGCGGTACCTCATCCTTCTGCTCCTGGATGCGGCGTCTCTCTGCCTCAATAGTCAGCTTCTCCTGAATTTCCTGAGCAATCTCACAGTCTTGTTGTTCGCTAAAACAAAGAAAAACAAAAACAAAACAACAAAAGCCAACATGAACAAAGGAAATAAACGGTAACAGTTCTTAAAGCACTTATTACTGAATAATCGCACTATAAACCAATGTAGAGTTTGACCTCACTTGATCCACAGGAGCATGATACAAAGAGGCTGAAACTGTTACATTTTACAGATGAGAAGTCTGAGGCCTAAGGATGTTACATCACATTCCCAAGATTAGAAAGAAAAATGTGGCATAACCTGGTTCTGATTTGCAAATCTGACAATGGGAATGTTCATCTTCTCTCTACAGCACCACATTCCTTAACTCTAAGGCCACTCTATGGGCTAAAGGCGTGTTTTCCCAAGATATGGCAAACCCGATGCAGACTGCGAGATCAATATTCACAAATATTCAAGTAGACAATATATAGAAACAGTCTGAGTGTCAGCTCACTACAATGTCTCATTGTGGCCAACTAAAAATAGCAGAATAATTTTGAAATGACTTTATAAGTGGTTTAAATATCACTTCATTTAGTCTTGACCAAGAACACACTTTTTTAAAATTATGCTTCAAAAGGAAGACAGAACAGTGTAAGTTACCCAGCCATGATTTCCTATAGAAGACTTTCTGGTTAATATCAATATTCTTAACATTGGCCACAAAGAAATTCAAATAATGTAACAGTTATACTTATTTTGTGTGTGTGATTGAATGGTTATTTATTTGTTTGTTTGGTTGGTAGGTTGGTTTTTGGCATTCATGCATTCAACAAAATGGAAATAATACCTACCATGAACCAGACACTATTTTTACTACTAAGGATACAAAAATAAACAATTCTTCATTGAGCCCTCAAAAATGAAAAAAAAAAATACTACATTCCAGAGGAAGATACAGGGAAAATCATTTTAGTAGGAGGAAGAGGCCCTTTCAAGGAGCAGTTTCATGGGCATGCAGTGTGGAAAGGCAGGTAATCCTACAAAGTTAGCATCCCACGTGGGCAATGGTTCCAGTTCTGGCTGCTCCCTTTCTGTTCTAGCTCCCTGCTAATGCCTGGAGAAAGCTGGGAAAGTTCTGAGCCAGTTGCTTGCTAAAGGCCTGGAAAAAATTTGGAGGATGCTGACTATCTAAAAAAATTACAATTGATTTTTATATGCAATTCATTTCCTCATTTTCATCTTGCTGAGTAAACTTAAAATACTCAGTGATTCTCACTGTTGGTAGCTTATTCCGTGCTTAATGTCAGTGTTTTGTAATTGAAATGAGTCGAGACTGGGGAAAGAACAGTATCCTAACTTTTCTAGAACTGAAATACAAATATTTTAACAAAACTGAAAATATGAAAAGACTCTCATTTACCTAAAGAAACAATCATTTTAAACATGTTTGTACATAGAGATGTAGCAAAAAGTACATTTGTATGTGGACATGTTCATGTATACGCACCACACTAAGGAGAGTGAGAGCAAAAGAATACACAACGTCAAAGAAACGTGCAGGAAATGGCATAATTTTTAACCAGTAGCAAAACTACTGGACTAGAAATCTGAAGCTCTGACTTCTTACCTTGCACTAACGATTAGGCCTTCTCATGTCATTTATTATAAAAAACAGTTAGACTGAATGATTATCAATTCCAAGTCTAATATTCAAAGGACTGTTATCATCTCAAACAAAAGAAAAGGGGGGTGGGAAATAAAAATCAAAACTATAGCAATCTCTATTTATATTTGCTCTTTTCATTTTACTTAGAATAATTCAGAATTATACACAAACTCATGGTTTTAGTTTTCAAAGACTGCCCAGGCTTCCAAAATTATTGTAAGATTCATACAGGTCTAGGTAGTCACAAAGTGGCAATAAAGGACTAAAGCAATAGCACGAAAAAGGAGGAATATCCAAATGAAACACTGAAAGGCACAGGTGACACAGATGAACCTAACAGTACAGATAGAAAAGTAAATATTCAGTTGAGCTGATTTACTACTAAGCACATGCCCAAGATTATTTTTAGTGAGGTCTGTCATGCAGAATTCTAAGGATGCAGGAGTAAATGAGAAAAGAGTACTAAGCAATCAAGAAGTCTTGTTTTACATGGATCCCCAGGACCAAACCCATTCATTAATCGGTTTTACCTGATTAAAACCTGCAGCATCTCACCTATCCCATGATGCTGACTTTCAACACTGCCAGGGAGGAAACTGAAAGCCTTCCTTTCTAACTTAGTAAATACTAACTAAAGCCTTGGGTGTCCCAGGCAGAAACAGCCCCGCTGGTCCTCTCATTTGGATATATAAGCTATCATTCTCTAATTCCTGGTTTGTATTTTACAGTAGTTTTTTTTTTTCTTTAATAACTTACCTTCAACATTCTAATTTTGCCCATTATCATGACCTTAATTTCAGGCATCATTGTCTTCTGTATTTTCTCTAGAATCAATGTCCTCGAGCCAATTCTCTTATCTCATTTAGTTCCCTAAAATTTTACCCTCTAAGCCTTTACCTACCCAACTTCCATTGTGCTCAAAGTGACAACCTAAACTTCCTTCAAGGGCTGCCTCTTCCTTGTGATATAAAGTCTATAGCTCTGAGTTTGGCAAAACAGTTAAGATGCCACTTGAAATACCCACATTCTGTATCAGGGCACACAGTTCACAGTCTAGGCTCCTGTGCTTCTAATCAGTCTTCCTACTGATGCACAAACCCTAGGCAAGAGCAGATCAGATGATGGCTAAGCATTCAGGTCGCTACCACAGATGTGGAGACCCGGACAAAATGTCAGATCCCTGCCTTCATCAGCATGCAGTCTTGGCTTTGTGGGCAGCTGCGGAGTAAGCCAACAAATGGAAAATCTCTGTGCTTCTCTCTGTGTCTCTATTTTACAAATAAAATGAAAACAAATAAAAAGTTAAAACATTTAATTTTTTTACAAAATATCTAAATTCGTTAGCTTTTTAAATTAGGAGCTCTTTAAAAATCTTTTTTTAGTCTAACTTTTGACAACTTTTCTGGCTTCATCTTCTACTTATATCCCCAATCACATTATCCACCCTGTTATTACTCAACTTCTTGCAGAAGTTTCTTCCTCCTGACTTTATACTTGCTATAAAAATAATTTTCTTTCATTATCCTATAAATTCCTAATTAGCCATCAAGGTTCAGATTTTAAAAAATCACCTATGTTGTGAAGATTTTTTAGCCTCTTCTCTCTTCACAGGCATGGAATTTATTATTCAATTACCAGTGACTCCTTTCAGTAATTGCTTCTTTAAAAAAAAAATTTTTTTTAATGGAAAGATCAGACTTATGGAGATAAGGAGAGACAGACAGAAAGATCTTCCATCTGGTGGTTCACTCCCCAAGTAGACTCAATGGTAGAACTGAATCAAATTGAAGCCAGGAACCAGGACCTTGCTCCAGGTCTCCCAGTCGGTGCAGGGTCCCAAGGCTTTGTGCTGTACTCCAATGTTCTCCCAGGCCACAACCAGGGAGCTGAATGGGTGAGAAGTGCAGCAGGCAAAACACGAGCTGATGCCCACATAGGGCCCCAGTGTGTGCAAGGTGAGGATTTAGCAACTGAGCCACTGCACTGGGCCCTCCATCCTTTAATTCTAGACACCCAGAGCTCAGAGTGTTTGCCTGGAGCTCTTAGAAGCAGCAGCTAATCTGTGTTTTCTCCTGATCTCTGGTCTCCTATGCCTTTCAAGGCACCAAGTTTGGCCAATCATAGAATCTGTTTACAAAATAAGGAAGTTTAGCAAAATGATGAATAAAGTCCTTCCTACAAAGACAAACACATAAAGCTAAAGTAAATTAAGAGGACCTTGCTGGCACTGTGGCAGAGCATGCTAATCTCTCCTGTGATAATGGCATACCATATGGAGAGCAGTTTTGAGTTCTAACTGCTCCTATTCCAATCCAGCTTCCTGCTAGCGTACCTGGGAAAGCGATGGAGTTCAGCCTAAGTGCTGAGTCTCTGTATCCACATAAGCGAACCAGCAGAAGATAACTCTCCCACTTTCTGTCTCTCCCATTTCTCTTAACTCTGACTTTCAAAATAAACACACAGATAAATATACAAATTTAAAGGAACCTTCACTTCTTGCTTTTTTTCCCTTGGTCCTTAACACAATTACCTAAGTGGATACATCTACCACTACAGAGTTGGGTTGTAAAAGGTAGAAAATAAATGGATCCTGTGAAATTTAAAACGTTGAAAAAGAGTAAAATAAATAAATAATGGTGTTGAAAGGATAACAGTTTTTCAAACGATCATTTTCATTAAAAGCGAAAATTGAGAGAGAACGTTTTCAACTACTGAAGTGATGAAAGGACAATTTACAGCTTTCATAGCATTCTACAATGTTCTTGGAGAGTAACATGCTCAAGGAAAAAAAGAGATGCAAACACATCTGGGAAATAACAAAGGACCCCCTACATCCCTAAACTCCTTGACGGCTGTTATTTCACGGGATTTCCTGAACAAACCATCGGGGAAGGAGATAAGCATTGGTTCTCTGGCTTTGAGCATAATTCACACAGGTCGATGAATGACTGCAACACTGCACAACTAATAATGCTACAATTCCCAAGAAACGCCTACACCCCAAAATACAGTCGAGGAGTCCAACAGCAAAGGGACGTTTTCAAGTGAAAGAAAACCACTTTAGACAACCACTGTATGATTCTTAATGTAACAGCAAATGACTGGAGAGGTCTACTGCTCGCCTACCCTGACCACTGGCTCCACAGAGGACGTGAGTCCTGAAATTCCGCCCTCCCACCTCCCAAGTCCTCACAGGTCTTTGTAGCGTTTCTGCAGCTGAGCCTGGGCTTTCAGGTCTTCTTCTTGGAGCTGCTTGGCCACCTGCAGATCATGCTGGACCAAACGACTCCGCTGAACGTTGGATGCCAAGTGATGCTCAACTGAGACAGAAGACAAAGCAGAGCAGTGACAATGGTTTGGCTTGCAAGAGATAATCGGGATTAACGCTTAACAAGAGCTTTACCTCAATAACACTTCACATTCAACACTTCATTTAAATTGTCAATAACAGTGTCTAAAAGGCAGCACAGAAAGTATCATTTCTATAATCACATTACCGATCTATTTATTAATTGGATTTGTAATACTTAATTTGTACACTTCCCCATAATTTTTTCCCCAAATCACATATTCAAGAATATGCTCATTACTTGGATTTGTTTCCAATCAGCACATTGGATAAATACTCAGAACACAACACTATGGCCTAGACACCATTTTTAGACACATGCTCAGATTTCTGTTCTACAGGTAGGAACAGTTTCCTGTGCCAGCCTCTGACATACCCAGGAAGCACTTGCCGCCACCATTCCACCCATATCTGAGGCAAAGGAAAAGGGGCAAGTCCCTCTTTTCCTTATATATTCCAATTCCCAGTTTTTGATCATCTCTCTCACTCACAAACATCCAAATATTCATTCTTCATCCAGCCATCATTTGCCTAGACAAATCCTCCAGGATGTACTAGAGATGGTCTGGCCATGTGGCTGGGTTCTCTTCTTACGTCACTCTAAGAAATCAGCTTGGAGCTACAACAAACAAAAGCAACCTGAAGCACAGGAATGAGCCATTACTCACTCTCTTGTTCCTGCAGACTGTGAGCCAGGGTGTGGTCCTCCAGCACAGCGAAGTCTCTGCACACTGGGAGGACGAGGAAAGAAGAGCAGACAGGAGAGTACATTAGGAGTATTCTGGCATAAAAAGATTGCTTAATTCATAAACCACTTTTAATCTTTCAAGACAATCAAATTTATACTCCCTAATGCACCGAACAGTGACTAGGTGAGCATGGAATCTTCATTCACAAAAATCCACATAAGGGCTGCTCGGCGACAAGCACACAGTGCCACCTAAGATAAGTACATTAACCACAGCATTAGAAACTGTAGCCTGCCTGTTCCCGGAGAGGATAAAAGCCCCTGGAAGAACAGAGTCACACCACTGCTGAGAGAGCAGAGTTCTTGCTGGCGTGGGTCAGGGAAATGAAAACTCAACTATGAATCACCCTCCGGTTCTCACGAGCCTCTCCCGGAGATTCAGAGAGACTGCACACAGTCATTAGTTCCTTGGGTAGCAGCAAGACATCTCTATTTTCAGAAAGATCATATTCTTCAGTGGATTCCCCTCCTGCGAATCTGGATCTCTCTAAACTTAGAGCTGTCCCAAATAACTCACAAACAAAGGAAAATGGGGACCCTGTAGGAAATCAGAAAGTTACCCCAACTCTGCCTCATCGGGAGACACTGGCAAGGTAATTTGCTGATCTTCCAGGTCTATGTTACACCAAAATACAACTAAATGCCTGGCTAATAAAAAGAACATGCCAATAAAACATGGACAAATGTTTTCAGAATGTGTAATCTGGGTGCTATGTTCTCATTCTATTACAAATACATAACTCATGTTTTTTTTTAAGATTAATTTATTTTTATCAGAAAGGCAGATATACAGAGAGGAGGAGAGATAGAGAGGAAGATCTTACATTCAATGGTTCACTCCCCAAGTGGCCGCAACAGCCAGAGCTGAGCGAGTCGGAAGCCAGGAGGCAGGAGCTCTTCCTGGTCTCCCATGCGGGTGCAGGGTCCCAAGGCTTTGGGCCATCTTGGACTGCTTTCCCAGGCCTCAAGCAGGGAGCTGGATGGGAAGCAGGGCTACTGGGTTAGAACCGGTGCACATATGGGATCCCGGCTTGTTCAAGGGGAGGACTTTAACCGTTATGCTATCATGCCAGGCCCATAACTCATGTTAAAAAAGAAAAATTCCTCAAGGCCCCAGGCTACTACTATGTGTTAGACTCATAAAACTATTCCCCTAGCATTTACGCAAGGTCATAGACTGCTTTCTACAGCTTTGGATTTGCCTCTGAGGACATTTAAAAGAATGTATGACACTCCCTTACTATGCACTTATATTCAGATATCCATTCTTACATGGACCTATCCTTTCCTGAGAAACCAAAGCTCGGCAGACAGAAGTCATAAGGTCTTATGTGCACAGTGAACAGTGTTTGTGGTTCACAAAAGCGTATTACTCTTGTTACAGAGAACTGAGAGCAGAGAGGGTAGGCTACAGACACAGTTAAGAGAAAAGCTGACTGCGCGATTCAAACACTCTATGATGCACTACGTTCTCCTTTATTAACATGGTACAAGCACTGTACACTAACCAAAATTTTATTTTTTAAAGGTCTGTTTATTCATTTTAAAGGTACAGCAGCACCGAGAGGAGGAAAAGGGGGGAAGACAGAAATAAGAGAAGTGAGAGATGTACACACTGAGGGTTGGGCCAGACCCAAGCCAGCCGCCAGGAATTGTCTCCACATCTTCATCACATGGCACAGGAGCATCACCCGTCATCTTCCCAGGCACACTAGCAAGCAGGTGGATCCAAAGAAGATCCAGGACTAGAACCAGCACTCTAACAAGGGATACTGGCATCCCAAGAGGAAACTGAACAAGCTGCGTCACAATGCCAGCCCCAACGAAAATGAATAAAAAACAATCTTTAGACAGAAAAATTCAGCTCAGCAAATGGAGTCTCTCTCTATATATGCCCCTCCTCACAAGTTCCTCCTTCACTCTGCCCTGTCCCTGCTTTTCAAATACATAAATAAATCTGTGAATGAACTAGTAAATACCTGGCACTGAATCAAAGCGGCTACTGCTTCTAAGCAAAGGGGGGATGTGGGAGGACGGCCTTGGAAACAGCAGCAAAAACAGCAGCAAAAAGGAAAGCTAACCCAACTAAGTCAAAATATTAAGACCCATTCAAACTGGGTGGTGGGTTAAAAGATCGCTGTGTTTCTTTTTCTTTCTATAATGTTGTAACATTGCATTTTAAATTCTATAATTAAACGTAAAGATATTTCCATTTCCTTTCATTTCATTAACAACCTATATTGTGAAACCACAAACACGTAGTTTGACCTATCAGGTATCCCTGGTTTCTGAATTACTGATTACATTAACAAGGCCTCACCATAAAAATTTCTGGATATCTAAATAGCAAGGCTGGACTACAAATTTAATTATGATAAACTGGTTTTAAAAGACAAAAAAAGCCAGAGACAGAATTTTTACTTACTAGATATTTGAGTACAGCCTGAGATAGATCTTCAAGGCTTTAAGGCAGTGCATGGACACAACAGTACAGAGGGTTTGGCGAAACGGCCGAATGCCTAAATCCTCACCTTCTAAGTGCCAGAATCACACAGGCACACTGGTTCATCTCCTAGCTGCTTCCTGCTTGTGGCCTGTTAAAGCAGTAGAGGATGGCCCAAAGCCTTGCAACCCTGAACTACGGCTCCTGGCTTCGGATTGGCTCAGCTCTGGTCGTTGGGGAGTGAACCAGTGGATGGAAGATCTTATTCTCTGTATCTCCTTCTGGCTGTAAATCAGCCTTTCCAATAAAAATAAAATAAACCATTGAAAAGAAAAAAGAGTACATCCAGAATGCACAATCTCAAATACAGCAATCACAAATACACTGAAGCAGCCTCTCAGATTTTACTAAGTGCTATCGCTTCTTAGCCAAAAGATCAAGTGTAGATTTTACTAGGTGCTTCCAAATACTTTTTATTTATTATAAAATATTTCCTCAATGTATAATTTCCTCTGTATCTACTACATTTTTTTTTTTTTTTCGAGATCTTCCTAAGTCATCCCCATACAATCATTTTACTGCAGCCTAGCAACATGCAGTCACCTTTGTAAATCAGTAACCAGACTGGTAATGACAGAAAACACTTCACAGCCAGCCCAAAAGCCTGGATAGAACTTTGCACTTTGTCCACCTTACTCCACTTGGATGTAAACAGTACGAAGTGTGTTGAGGACAAACAGCATGGGCTCCTTTCACCCTCCTTCCCTGACAGGACATTCAACGGGGAGGATCAGGAACCCAGGCTTTCGTTCCAACTTTTCAAACACTTTTCCACTGTGTCCACTTTAACCTAATCCAAACCCAGTGGTGCTTGTCCTATTGTTCCCATAACTCACCCTCACATTTGGTCTACTATTTGTAACCTTTTACTAACTTGGGCCTCCTCATCACAGTGAATTCTACCCTGAGATGCTTCATTTCCATCCAGACCTTACTGCAAAAGGATACACTGCTGAAATATTCTATTCAGAAGTTTAAAAGTTCTAAGCAAGAATTAAATTGTTCTGTTAGAAAGAACAACTTTTACTCATCAAATATGCAAAGTGAGTAAATATCTAATCATATGATTCTAAGGAAATCCAGAATTTTATCCCTCAAGGAATGTTTTCAGATTATTATCAAAACAACTTGTAACATTTCCAAGAGTGAAAAAGTCACTGGCCTAAGCCATTCTCTTCTGCCCTTTTCTTAGCCTCACTCCAGGATTTTCTGAAATTACAATTCCTCTGACTCAGTCGTAACAAGCTTCCACCCACAGAAAAATGCCTGGATTAATACTTTCCCTAAAGGCTATTTCTTTCAACTGTATCTCTTTTCCCTTTTATGGAATGCTAGAACTTTGTGAAGTATTTTGTTTCCATATAAATAAACTACATAGTTATTGCTTTGCAAATAGGGAATATGCTTGCTATTAATTGTTCTGTGCATGGGAAAACAACTTCTATGTACAAGCAAGACAGTTTAGAGACACAATTTCTCTAAAGTTTGGTAAGGACAAGCAGTCGCAACTGGTACACAGCATTTTGCAGATTACAGAGCACTTTCACATCTATTTCTTGCATTAACCTGAAGATAAAGGTTTTATCAATGTCTCTTAGAAGAAACTAAAAACAAGTAAGTAGCCTTAGAAAGATCATCCCCAAAATAATCAGACTGGAATTCAAATCTGATTTTCTGGCCCCAAATATTTTTACATAAAAAGGATTTCCTGAGCCCGACACGGTGGCTTAGTGGCTAAAGTCCTTGCCTTGAATGTCCCAGGATCCCATATGAGTGCTGGTTCTAATCCCGGCAGCCCCACTTCCCATCCAGCTCCCTGCTGGTAGCCTGGGAAAGCAGTTAAGGACAGCCCAAAGCCTTGGGACCCTGCACCCAAGCGGGAGACCTGTAGGAAATTCCTGGCGCCTGGCTTCGGATTGGCACAGCACCAGGCTTTGCTGTCACTTGGGGAGTGAACCATTGGACGGAAGATCTTCCTCTCTCTCTTCTCCTCTCTGTATATCTGACTTTGTAATAAAAAATAAGTAAATCTTAAAAAAAAAAAAGATCTCCTGGTGAAATGAATATGATGAATATGGGTTTCGACAAATAAGAAAAGAATGTTAGTAAATCTACATTAAAATAAGAAATAAAGTGTGCTTTGGGTTCTTTGAAATCAATGATGAAATTAAAATTCAGTGAAAGTACCTCCATTCATGAACTCTGTCTCAAGACTAGACATCTAGCAACAGAGCCAGCCTAGATTCATTCCTGAGGAATAAGAGCGAAAGCCCTACCAACAGTCTCCTGGTTAAGAACAGGGCCCAGGGCTAACCTTGGAAATCTCTCCATAACGTATAATTAGAACAGATGACTTTAGAAATTACTAATAAAGGTAAATACCAAAATCCTAAAATGCACTTTACTTTTGTTGTTAAACATTACGTATTTTCAAATTTGTTGTCTATTAAGGGGATTCTTTCAATTCTTTTTAAAATACT